GCAGCGGGGCCATGTGGTAAAAATCTGCACTCAGAGAAACATGCTCCAATGTGGTGGAAAACACAGCTCCCATTTTGTCTGCTCCACGCTGCTCCATCTGGCTGCCTCTCTGTCATTATGCCATTGGAGAGGTTATTTTTGTTTTTAAGGGCAATTATACTCAATTCAGACTGACTCTTTATTCTCATCAACCTGACATGGGCTTTACTCAGCTTTGAGTTTGTTTGAAAGGTCTACCTGAGTGAATAGATACCCACTACTAAACAAGATACTTTTTAGATTTTCTCGATACTGGTCACAATTTACAAGTTTACTTTCTTTTATAATTCTTTTCAGTTGTATCAAATTAGTATAAGACCATACGGTAATAAAAGAATCCAGGAAACAACTGTGACCTCAAAAAAAACCCAAAAAAAAACCTATTGAGACCTCACTACACTTCAGATAGCCTAGTAGGGTTGTGCAATTAAAACTACCAACTAAATTAGATATTAATAACAGAAATCTGTTTCCATGCTGTCAACATGATGGTGCATCAAAATAATAAATAATTTTTTAAACATTCAAAGATGCTACAAGTATCATATAGATCTAAAAATACATTCTTATGCTGAATTCAAGTTGAGCGGCACCTTTGTTTTTTCCTTTTTACTGTAATGTTAAAAACGTATTCAAATTCAAACTCTACATCTTCCACAAAAACACACACATTAATGTATTTCTGGTTAAATGTAAGCCCATAACGTTTGGTTGCCATGGTTTTCCTTGTGTTGCATTCACCGTTATCATAAATTAGACAGGTCATTGAGATGCCACATGCCCTGGGTGTGTGACATCGGGCCACTTGTCACCTCTCTGTCTGTGGGCTTTTGGTCTGGTTGCTACATTCCCCACTGTTTTGTAAAACTTCCTCACACCTACAAAGAGTCACTCAGGAGGCCAGCCAGCAGCGACTCATTGTCTGTTTCTTTGTAAATGCTAAGTGACCATAACGATTACATGGAAGTAATCGAGTCATTTACAAGCCAATCCTTAATAATGGATGGGTACGGAGCTGTTGGAGAATGCCATCCTTATTTGACTTCACTGACCATAAAAAACAGATTACTGTCACAAAAATTCTAATTCGACTTTGATACTAAAGCAAAAGGTTGATAACTACATACCAATTTCAGTACAACAATGAATATAAACAATGTTTCATACAAAATTAAGAAATTTAAACATGAAACAAATGCCATTTCTCTAGTTGTACCATATAGGTGCTCTATCTATTTAGTCAATTTTGTCACATACCTGTTCACAATCGTAGTTTTGATATTAGTTTTAGTATCAATTACCCTAAGCTCAGACCTATATATTAATGAACACGTGATCTTCTGGTTGGTGCAAATATTTGAGTTCTTTCATTTTCTAAGTTTCAATAGTTTGCTGGACCATTGTTGATGGAGTAGAGTAACTGGTAATATTTCACAAGTAAATCCTCCTCCTTTTATATTTCATACTTCTTCTAATTACAATACAAACTAATCTTACTTTTGAATTCTTAGTATTAGTGTATTGTCTTTATGTTCAAGGTGCCACAATCGCACAGAGACAGGACAAAAGCAAACAAAGACACAAAGAAACTCATATCAAAATCATATCACGGCAGCTCCGCTATGAGCACACAGCGTGAGAGGAGAGTGTCTGTGGGAAGGTGATAAGTCCGGCCAAGTGCCTGAAAAATCACTGTTTGGCAAGCCTGTAATATTAAGTCATAAGAACCACCACCTACAGGAAAGTCATCTGCAATCTTTTATCTATCAATTTTTTATTTGTCATTTCAATAACTCTTTTGTGGTGCAAGGTGACGAAGGATGTGAACTTCACTTGGTTCATAAAACAAGCACAAGCAAGACATTTTAACAAAAGTCTGGGGATCTGTAGACGGAGATAGAGCGGAATGGCCTTCAGACAAGCCCGCAGATGTTGTCACAGGCAGAAGAGCACATAAGCATAAAGAAGTGTAGACAAAAGTGGTTGATCTGAGTAGTTTGTGGGAGCGGGATAATATACGACCAGGTGAGCCATGCCTGAGGGGCCAGTCCCTGTAGCTCAGGGGCTCCATGGCTGAGTGACAGTTTGATGAAGGAGGCGTAGCATGAGGGAAATTAGAGCGCCCCCCTCCCGCTCCTCTTCTCTCTCATCATTAGTAAGGAGTTATGCTCTCAGGCACTCCGCATCAAATTACCCAAAAAGAAGACATCCTCTTTTCTTTTGGCCCTTTCTCTTCCTCTGTCTGGCCCCAAGCAAAATCCAACCTGTCAGATCAGAGACACGCAGGCCTCCACAGCACAGAATGAAAACTCTTAGTCATAAAAACAGAAAGAGTGACAGTGATGGATTAAGAAAAGGGCAGAACTCATTTGCCCTTTCACAAACCAAAAGATACAGGAACTCTGAGAAAAGCTGCACAAGGCATTATTTAAACCTTGGACATTGTCATGTTAAGTGAAATAAAAACTTTCCGACAAAACTTTTTAGCAATGCGTATGTGATGAGCCTGTAGCAATGATGTAAGTTACACATACCATGGAGCCAGCGACATGCACTAATCTGGCCGTGCGCACACCTCTTTCTCAGAGCTGAGGCTTGCTGTGTCACCGGTTGGACAACTCTGCACCCAGCCCTTCAGGCAGCCACTCAACCTCTCCCATGCTCCCCAGCTCTCGCCTCAGACATTTTCACATGCTCAACGCGGTACCTGAGTTCATGTCCTACATAAAAACGTCTCAATGTTTATTTTTCTGAGTAAAAAAGTTAGTCTGGAGCAAAACTCACCAAACCTGCCTGTTTCAAACCTAAACAGTCAATGATGAAACACTCAGAAGATAGAAAAATGTGTGGGAAAATTTGCATTTGGGACCTAGAGGCAGTTTCAGACTGTTAAACATGCACATAGGCCCATTCTGTGCCAAAACAGTTTTATTACAGACACAGTGTGGAGAGTGTAGGTCTAGCTGTGTCGTACTAAATCTTCTCATGTTTTATTTTGATGTGTCACATAAATAGTTTGACCACTTCAACACTGACCTCTGGCTCGATAATTACTGCTGTGCCAAAAGGCCACAGAGGCTGTTTATCCACGACCGGCTGTCTTTAATACACTCAGGAGCCTAACTACCACATAATTGGATTTTTATACAATGAATCTTTTGAGGCGCAGCACAGTGCTGAGCAGTCAGACAGGAGCTATGAGAGTGTGTATGATCCTGTGTGTGCGTACTTGCACATGTTGCATGAGAAAAGAAAAAAAATGTCAGACTATTGAATCAGTCTAACAGTAGGCCTGTGCTCTGTCAGCTGACTACACAGAAGGAACAACTCCCCTCTGTCTCCAGGGCAGGGCAATTCTATAAACCAATAATACTGTTTTACTTTACTCAAAAGTATTGCATAGTATTGCAGCTAATTTTTGTCAACTTTGAATTCAGCCACAGAAATGATTTTAAACAGTGTTATCAAATGTGCCCGATGATCTAAAGCTGTGGCCTGACTATGTCATGAATGAACTTAAATTAATGTTTTTTTTTTTTTTTGTTTTTTTTTTATTTCGGTCACAGGTATATTTTGACATTAATTCATAAACAGTCCTATTTAATATATACAGACCGAAAAGGTGCAGGCTGAAGCTTAAGCTTATTATGCCTACCCTTTATTCCTTTGTCAGAGCGTCATCTTGACATCAGTTCATCTTCATAAATACAGCAGGAGGAAACAAGCTAATCAGTAACAGAACAACAAAGTACTACAGCACAAACTAAGTCTCATATTTCATGTATCTGTCCAGAGTTAACATTTAAACTTCTTTATGAAGTGAAAGAAAGTGGTGCACAATTTTAGGTTTTCTGTACAGTTGTTCCAGAGCTCCACCCCTTTAACAGATATACAAAATTTCATAATGTTTGTTCTGATTTTCTTTTTAATAAACATGGTCGTGCCTCTGAGCTCATATTGGCTCTTTCGGATTTTGAACATGTTCTGTAACGATTTTTTACAGGAGATTGTTGTTTACTTTGAACATGATTTTAAGAGTGTAAAGGTCGACTAAATCATAAAATTTCAGCGTTTGAAGGTTTATAAATAATGAATTGGTTGGTTCGTTATAAGCTGATAATGTTATTGCTCTTATTGCCTTTTTTGCAGGGTAGAGTCCCTCAGGTCAGTGATCCACAGGTGGTTTAGTCACAAACAGATGCTCAGAAACATGCCCGTTTGCACCTGCAGCCGTCTCTGTTTGACCTTCAATCAGACTCATTAAGGAATGCTGCTCTTTCGGTCCCTCACTGTTGAAATTCCAACAGCTCTGGGAACAGACATGCCGTGTGTTTCACATCAAATCTGATGAAATATGATCAGGTTCATGAACTAGCATTGATGTTTTCTTTGGAAATTTTGGCTCAGGAGTGGTGAGGTAATTAAAAAGATAGCATAGTTAATTACAGACTGAGCTAAACTGTCAGAAAAGTAAAGATATGCATCAAACAAGCCAATCTCTCCTAATGATGCCATTACAACAGAAGGAGCAGGATAAGTACTGACAAATAATAATTTGTGTCTCATTCAGTTTAATGTGTGGTACTTTCCTGTGTAATAAAGTGTGTTTAAACTACAGACCCTTGCACAAGCAGGTTTCAGTTATTCTATATGCACTAGTTCTGGAGGTGACCTTTGCAGTGTAATGGTGGAAACCACTTAGCTGTTCTAAATCCCATTTAGAAGGTGGAAAAGTGTGTGTTTGGTATTGTTCCCATGCGGAGCTGATGTGCTCGTCAGACAGAGTGTTCCTTTATTCCCCTTTCGTGCCTGAGCAAAACTTCATGGTCCCGTGGACAGGCTGGGGCGTTTATAAAAACACGGGCTCTGGCCTGTTTTTACTTCACTTGGACCACTCTGTGTTTGAAGGGTTTGAATGTAGAGCCACTGAACATGTTTAGTGGTGGAAGGTTCAAACTCACCGGCAGTGTCCAGTTCCATTGTTAAAGGTCACACACGTCGCGTTGTTCACACAAGGTTTCTTATCGTCCACACATTGCAGAGCTGCATGACACAACAGACTGGTTAGAAAGTGTACATTTATGTACATACATGAATATATGCAGAAAGATGCTATGAGTGTGACTGTTCCAAGCAGGGTTCAAAACAATCAAGAATCAGATATTAATCAACACTAAACTATTATCAAAACTAGATACTCATTTGCGTATAAAACCTCATAAACTAGTGTACACACATTATGTAACCTACCTGTATGACTGAGGGTTTACATAGATTTAAAACCACATGGTAAAATAAAATAAAGTACAAGTATTTAATGTTGAAAATCACATAACATTGTGGTATCAGTAAATTTACTTTTAGTATGACTGGCAATACTAGTTCCCAGTTTTACATCATTGGCCACATTAACAATATTAGGAAACAATATTTGGCGGTGTGTTTTTGAACTGATTTCAATAATAATTTAAAAGCCCATTTTATCACTTTAGCAGAGGTGTGCTAAGAGCCCACACGCATATCCAAATGCTCCAAAAGGAAACTCTTTATCCCAGAGAGGCTGAGATAAAGCTGCGGTCCAGCCCGCTGTGCAGAGGCAGGTCGTGGTCACAGGGCAGCCGGATGGGCAGCCCCACAGAAGTGAGCCTTGAATGAGACAACAAAGCCTGACTATCTTCACACCAATGAGACCATCCTTGGTCAGACACATCCGTCATTGTGTGGTTGAAGACGATACAGACACATGCCTCAAGTGGTCTTCACACACTTCATGCAACATGGCATGACATATAGTATAATTCTAAGAATATTTGGGTTTCATGCATAAAATATAAACCTGTAATACATGCAGCACTGCACTACACTTTTAGTAGGTCAGCTGACTTCAAAGAAACACAACCTTTTCATAAGGCATTACAGGAAGTGTGCTCAGTCAGCAGTAGTGTTACTTCCTGTCCCTAGATTAATCACAGTGTCACAAGAACAGAAGAAGACAGTGGCTAAAGAGGCTGGTTCAGCTTCTGCTCTACTGAAAATGGTGGTCTGTGCTGAATCTTGGAAACAGGCTCACAGACATAGTCCATTAGACATGGGGATAGTCAAACATAAACCACTGTGAAATGAATAATCCCACCAAGAGCATGCACACTCACACATGCCACCAAGAACACACTGGCATTAAGTGTTAGGGGAAACTGCCTGCTGCCACCTACACACTAAATATGCTGCAACACAAAAGGACAATTTCTGTTGTTGCTTCAAACTAAAATTAAGAAATAAAGACAGCAGAGTGTAAAGGGATTTTCTCATCATTCCCATGGACAAGCTTCCCATGCACTCATTTTATACCAAACACAATGGTCTTAACAGACACAGGACAGACCTTCTCTCCTGTTTCCTCATACTTCCAAATCAGTGACTCATGTTTTCACAAAGGGTCAAATCAACAACAAGCTACCTGCTTTTTCTCACACGTCACTATCGATTTGCTCTATTCATGGGTGTTTTTTCAGGCCTGGGAGTCTTGATAAGCACTGATTGAATGAGTCAACAATGTCACTACAGCTAATGTGTGTGTGTGTGTGTGTGTGCGTGTGTGCATGTGTGTGCGTGTGTGTGTGTGTGCGTGCGAATGTGCGTGTGTATGAAGCATGCATGCCACAGCCACTAATGACTAATTCCACCAAAAACACTTTTATTTATTATTTCAACTGTCCTTTCCTACAACAACAGTGAAGAGAAAAATCCAAATAGTTTGTGAAGGATGGTGTCACTTAAGCTAAAATGTTTTGATACCCCTGAACCACTGTAACAGAGGAAAACTTTACACTGTGCTACTGCTGCTGCTCCTGGTGTTTGGAAAATCCCAAATACTCGATCCAGGCATTCACTGATATTTCCAACTCTGGACCAGTTTAAACCAGTCATATGGCAGATGCATTCATGGACATAGGTTTTCTTGCAGCCACATTTTTTACATTGGAAAAGTATATAAAAATGTGAAATAACATAAAAACCCAATTTTGCCCAAAGACACAAAATTAGAGAAGATAAAATACTGCATAAAATTTAGATGTACAAGGGCCTCAACTGCTTTCACTCTCACTTCCCTATTCTGTTGCTAGTCTCCGTCATCATTTCCAGCCTACAAAGTACTACAAGGCTCAGTGAGGTCACACTACGAGTGATAACGTCACGAGATTGGGTGTTTTGAGGGCAAATTCTTTCACCCACTAAAAATGTTTAAATGTCGCCTAAAAAGCCCCGGGCAAACTAGTGCCAAAACTGTAAATTCCAGCTGTAAGTTGTGTTTTTTCTGTAATACCCTTCTTGCGGCTACAGCGTTGAAGGAAAAAGACACAAAAGTTGGGGCCTATAGATCAAAAGGTGATTTGTAAGATTGTGGTTGTTTGCAATCATTTGGCATTACGCCTGGTACTCCTCTGCACCCACCATTGCCTTGTCACAGACACCACAATAGGCCCCTGGAGAAATGCAGCCATGTAGTGAAATGAAAAAAACTAAACAAGAGAAAGGAGGGAGAGAGGACAAGGGAACGAGACAAATAGACAGGCTTTGAGTTAATATCTGTGGATTGAAATGAGGAAGTCATTATGAAAGGCCTGCACACGAGCACACTGGCACACTTCCACGCGGCACAGGCCAGGAAGTTGTTCGCACCGAGTGAGGAAGTGACTCCATTTCCTGGAATTGCCCGTACAAGCCCCTCTCTTGATCCAGTGAACCTTAGAAGAGTTGTCATGGTAACAAACACGCAATGAAATACCCTTAGCTCAGCATGGAGGAGGAGAAGGGGCTCAAACCAAACACTTTCACCCGGAGGGGAGATTTTTGGGCCCACACAAACAGGCAGATGATAGTGGAGGTAGATGGAGGGTTTATAAGGAGAGGCCTGCCTTACTCAAACACAAGGGTGGTGACTTACTGTAAGAGGCTGTTACAGCCCATAGAAAGAGCATTACAAAAAAATCCATGCATAAGTAGAATGAAGGAGAACTTACTGAAATATAATAACGAAAAGGTTGAGAGAGTTCGATACAATAGTGACTTAAGCCTAATTTGCATGTGGCTTCTACAGGTCATTACTATAAACCACAAACTGTGAAAACCCAATTTAAAATATTAAAAGTAGTTGCTGTAATTAAATCTTAATAAAACAACCAAAACATATTTAATACCTATTTAAATAAAGCTGTAATTGACCATCCAGTATCCAGCTATTTCATACCCACATGAAAATATATCAAAATGTTTAAACCAAAAATAAGAAATCTTTCAGAGCCAGTTATTCCAATTATGTCCATGGTATTATATTGCTACTATTCCTAAGTGTAACAGTAGTGATACAGTTTTGCTGACAAGTTAGCAAGAAACAACTATTTGCATCTTAAATGTCTTGGTTGTCACACACTTACTAGAAATGCTGACAAATAAGTGCTAGAGGTCACTGTCCGGCCTCCCTGTATTTTGGACCAAATGGGTCAAACAGGTTAACAAGTGTATAATTACTTGTAATGTATTTTACTGCTTTAGGATTGTAGAGTGTTCAGGAAAGTGCTTTTAACATGAATTATTGCTAAAATGATTCTAGTAGTTTTATTGGCAATAAGAACATTTTTGCCTTCCCGCTGTGGGCCGCTGGCTTCATTACTGTGTGCCAGCCTGTCTCCAGGATTACGGGACTGTGTTGGCCAAAGAATGCGGACAGCAGTAATTCCCTGTTAATTTGCTAACCTGTTCAACAGTGCAGACAAAACGCTTTGTAATCCTTTCGACCTTCACAGCCCCCCAACACCTCCTCCTTTGGTACCAGTGAATGTCGAGCATGCCTCATCCTCATTTTAAGTGCTGTTTTATTAAATGTGCAAGGATTTAGTATTGAGACAAGTTATATCTACAAAGCAAAAAGAAAAGATCGAAAGGAAAGTCAAGTGTTGAATTACCCATAGGTCAGACAGATCGTCTATATGACACCACTGTAGCTCTATTGCACCTCACTTTTCCTTGTGCATCAAGTTAGTTGATTTGTTTAAAATTAAGGATAAAAGTTAAGTGCGTTCTTTGGCAAAATGCTATGCCAATTGCCCTGTTAAGGATACTTCCAAACACAAACTTCTGCAATTATCCAAAGGACTGACAATTGAGGTTACGATAATGAAAAAGATCAATTAAAGATTCCTGGTAAATCTACACTGCAGTGCTCTGTAGTCTGTCTAATTGTCTGTATAATTTGTTCCATGTCATTTGCCATGGCTTATTCAAGATTATTCTTTGGAGCATTTAGTCTTACCATGCAACAACTGTAAATGTTAAGTTGCATTAACTTATTTCATAGCCGATTCTAGACCGGCGCACATGGTGTGGTCTGGCTTTTTTAACTTTAGACTACTAATCAAAAGGGTGGAGAAGGTTGATCCAAGTGTGACCCTGCACTTAAAGAACCAGCAAATGTATCTACAAGTGCTGGGGAGTAGACGAAGCAAATATAAAAATCAAAGAGGGAAATTGGAGGGTGCAGCCACATTTATAACACACAGGGCAGTGGGCAGATCTGGTGGTCAGTAAATAATGCAGTGTTGTGGGTAGCTCAATAAACAGCTTTGTCTTTAGGACACAGAGCAAGGCCTGGCACGAATAAAACACATTTCACACCAGTTTGGGTCAGGGGCGGCACAAACGCTGGTCTCTGTATTAGACTCCAGGCATATGCACATGCAAGTACGCCGTGTGGAGTATTCACTGAGTAAATACATGCAGCCATCCACAGGCCCACGCCGAGAGGACAACAGTTAGTCGTGTGGCGAGGAGATGGCACCCACACTTCCTAAAAACACAATGATTAAAAGTGCCAAGTTTAGGATTCAGAAAAATAGAAATGTGCAAAATTTGCAGTGAGGTGCAAGTTTTCAGTTCTGTCAGCTTGAAACAACATGAATATAAATTCAGATATAGATTGTTTAGCGCTTTAATAGATTAGAAGTCATTTGAGGCATAGGCTAAACACTCAAATAGAAAGGAATTTTACTGTAACATAGCCACTATTAAAAGAGCATTCTTCTTGTATTCATTCATTTATATCACTGTAAAGAGAATTTAATGTCAGGAGTCGAGTCAAGTCAAGTCCAAGCCAAGTTATCTCAGTTTTTATTTTTGCATATCATGTTTTGACTTTTGTATATCATGTTGACCTGCAGAACACATTCTATAGTTTCAGAGCAGATTTACCAGTCCCTATGGGCCCAGCATAGCCACTAGGTGTGCGGTGGTGAGTGTGTGCTTAGTGTGAGAGAGGAATGTCAAACACCAACAACATTCCACGGCTTCTCCTTGCTTTTGGCCTGAAGCACTTTGCATTGTGTTTTCTCCATTTGTGCCACTTTTCTGTCCACGAGTCATCCATTCACTATCAAAGACTATACGAATATGGCACGACTGCAGTATGCACGCAGGTTTAGTGAGCTACAATTAAAAAAACAAACAAACAAAACAAACCAGAGGCCTATAGCATGACTAAAACTGCAGTCGAACGTGCAGGAGACGTGTGTAGTCAATTACTGACTAATATCTACCAAATACTAGGAATTCATTACAGCGAGAGATGGCACGGGTGACACTTACGAAGGCGTGAATCCCACACACGCACATCTGGGCAGCTCAGAGAAAGAAACAGTGGGATGACATGCTGACATAATACGCATATTACTGAGCAAAAACAAAACAATGCAGCAGTTTCAAAATGCATCCTCACATACTTTATTCTGACCACGTGGTAACAAAAAATATGTAAAGCGCAATGAAACTTACAAGTTTCTCACAAATTCAAAAATGGACAAAATATAAAAATGCAGCTACATTAGAAACTCTAGTCTCCTGAAAATTGTACACATAAGAACAAGCAAAGTCACAATAACCACTAATGGCCAATTCTGTAAGTCAAGTATATATTTTTCTAGACTAGAGATAGAGAGCTATTACTAATGTACAACAACGTAGTCCAGCGGTGAGAGCGCCTGGGCGCTGCGCAGATGCAAAAGCAGCTAAAACCTGAGCTTAACAGTTGGAAAAAAAATGAACTAATCAAGGATCTCAAAACTTACCCAAAGAGACGTGAATGAGACACGCCACAAATATCAGTGATTTTCCCGAGGAGAGACCGGGGAGCTGCTCCATTTTTTCCTTAAAATCCACATAAGGTCGCTAGCCCAAAGTTGAGTTGTCTCCCGGGACGGTAAGTTCTTCAAAGTCCTACTATAACAAACCTACGGCTGAAGAAATGATGAGACACACATTCCAGGGAAGTCTACAACATTTTTAAGTCCTTCTTTACTGTGTTCAGGACGCGGTTTAAGTGAAAATCGCTCAAAAATTTCTACAATTACTTGTCCGCCTCGTTAGGAAACAGCGGTAGAGTCTCTCAGCTCCGTGCGCTCAGCAGTCACTCACTGAAGTCACTAAAAGTGAAGAGACAAAAAGATATCCTTCCGCTCCAGTCAGCGTGGACCTATGGCGCCTGGAAACTGATGCCTTTGAAACTAAACCAACGTGCAAAGGCATGACATAGCCCTTTATGCTACATGCATTTATTTTATTAAGAGACCCGAGGCTTTTCTTGTTTACACTTAGAGGTGATTTTATAGTGATGTCGAACTTTTTTCTTCTTACCCTCGGAGTGGCGGAGGAATTTTTTACTCATTTTTCTACTTCTCAAAGCCGTGAGTCAAAATTAACCCGTTCAGTGATTTCTGCTCTCTTCGTTCAGGCGTGATGTGCATGTCTGTGTTTTTAAAGCCAACAAAGCCAACACGTTTCTGCATACATCCATTTTATACAGTGAAGTCAAACCATGTGTCATTCTATAAACAGCTGAAATAGGTTAACTTAACAGCTGTAAAATGCAGTGAAAAATGGGGCTGCTGGTGCAACCATTTTAACAATGATAATCCTTCTCTTAATTATGTTTGCATTATAATTAGGCTGACATTTAGATGGTTCTGAATACATTCTTAAAGGTGCACTTTTTAACCTTTTAGAGGGCAGTAGCCTACACTACCTGCTTTTCTCCCAAAGCAGTATTCCACAGCATGGCTTTTAAGGTTAATGCCATACTGTGGGACATTCTAGGCAAAGGAAACAATTATTTTTTAAACAACCTGGTACACCATCGCCAGAACATTACATAGGCTATTGCATCTCAAACATATTGCCAAATTAGCCTGCAGTCTTGGCAAATCCTCCCAGTACCATAAAAAACAAACAAAAAACAAATAAAAGTTAATTTGTATGCTGACCTATGATATTTAAAGAGTTTATGCAAGCTGGGTTACACATGATCAATTACTTCCTGATTTACAAGGACTCACATTCATAGGCTTTTTAGTCTGTTGGTGTTACACTAATACTAACCTAATTATCCACTATCAGCACAAATAATGCAGGTGTAAATCCCATGCCAATCACAATAACAAAAGAGTGGTGATTTGTTAGTCTTTACACCCTGTTAGAAAAACACTACAGACCCCCTGCTGATGCCACTGCCCTCTGTGTCCTCCACTCAGCCCCCGGACCAAGGTCTCCACAGGGATCTGTACCGACAACGCTTTTGTTTAGGAGGACGGGATCAACCTCTGCAAATGTTAAGTGTCAAGTAAGACCATGACAACAAATGATCAGCTCACATCCATGTTTGTTAAGACTGCTAATAGGGGCTTGGAGCTTTGAGGGAGTTGTTTATAGTTTTACTTGGTAAAAAGGGGGATATCTCTTGTTGTGCTCTTGTTAGGATGTGGTTTATCCACGCTGAATTCAGGTAATTCAAATAGTCTAAGTAGTAATGCCCATATGAGCTATATCACTTGATTAGACGTATTAGCCCACATTTAGGTTCAATAAATCTATACTACAAATATTACAAATTTGGGCTGCAAAAATATATATAAAAAAGCTGAATTTGACTGAAATTTAAAATCACAATTATGTCAAATGATTACTTCTTTACTGACACTTTTGTTTGATTTTAAAAGAGATAAGGATTTAAAGAGATTAGAAAGTGATTTTACTTGTAAGATTCATGGCGCTTTCTCCATAAAAAAAAAAAAAAAATGGAGAACCACTGCAAGACATTGTGTCCTATACCATTAATTGAGCAATGCATGTTTTGTACTCAGTTGTGACATTGGCCTTTTCTTTGTAGTCATCAATTCCCAGAGACAGTAAATTCCACTTTTATGCTGCTGGTTTATAGGAGTCTAATGTAACGCGATATAGATCACTTCAGAGGATCACTGTCTGCAGGCCTGTTTTCAGAGGTGACGTCACTCCAGATGTGGGCTCACAGTTTGGGAAAGATCCCTGGCTGCGAAGGGTGTGGCTGTCTACAGTTCATAATTTCTGCTGATGAAAGAAGACTGAACATGTGACCCAAAAATCTGTCCAAAATATATAACAGAGAGTAAAGCGTATTCTGTACAGACACATTAGACACTTTATGTACAAATACAACTTAGTTTCAATGCCAATGACTCAATGGGTTCACTGCCTGCGTCTACAGTATTCAGTAATTGTATCTACCCATACTGTGGCCATACTGGTTTGTCTAAGCTTGAGCTTGTCTGGTCTCAGAAGTTAAGCAAGGCTGGGCCTGGTGAGTACCTGTATGGGAGACCTCTGGGAATTCCAGGTGTTCCAGTGGGGCACCAGTGGCAAAAGCTGACATTGTGTCCTTAGGCAAGGCACTTCACCCACATTGCCGAGTATGAAAGTGGTGTGTGCGTGCATGTGTGTGTGTGATCGGTGGTGGTCAGAGGGGTTGATGGTGCAGATTGACAGGCTTTCTTCCATCAGTCTGCCACAGGGCGGCTGTGGCTACAATAGTAGCTATGGATATGGAGTGAATGAATAATGCTCTGTAAAGTGTCTTTGAGTATCCAGAAAAGCACAATATAAAACGGTTATATTATTATTATTATCATTATTATTATCTCCACGGAGACAAGCAGGTGACGTCACCAGGCAAAGAAACAGATGGAGAAGCAATCTTGCTCACAGTGAAAAACAATGCGTGTTTTTCAGGGTATCTTTGAGCAGTGCTGTATGTGGAACATTCCAGACAATGCCATAACATTTCCATTTAGAAAAGCAAGTTGTAGACCTCAAGAAAAGTTAAACAGCGCATCTTTAAGTGCTTGAGAGAGGATTTTCATACCAAATCAGAGCTCATCAGTCATGGTGACGCTGTGCTGACTGAGGCCTTAGGATTTATTCTGTGAAACATACAGACTACAGAGCAGAACCAGAGGCAAGGCAAGGCAAGGCAAGTTTATTTGTATAACACAATTCGTACACAAAGTAATTCAAAGTGCTTTACAGAATAAGAAATACATTAAAATCATAATAAAAACAAATCAAAACATAAATAATCATGAAGATTAAAATTAAAAAAGAGAGACATAAATTGGAGAGAAGAGTGCGGAATAAAACCTTTCAGTTATAGAGCTGTTTAAACTGTACAAGTCTTGAATATTTCTCCACTTTCAGATTTACAGTACAGTTTGTTTAATCCAGACATACGAAGTCACTAGATACATTTTTTATTCACTTGTTATAAATATAATATGGTTAAATTCCAGACTCTGTGGTAATTATAAGACGTGATATTTCTTCACTTGTTTTTCTGCACCTGAATCAACTATTAACCCATATTTAAATCATGTTGCTGCCATTATGGTGAAAACAGCAGGACATTGTAAAGGATGTTAGTTTCAACCACTGATATTAAAGGTGCAGATAAGAATTTAAAATAATTTGATTCTGCTTTCGTTACATTTGCACAGTACCCCCAACTTTGTTCTGTAAAATGTGTACTTATGTCCAAGAGTAACATTAGTAGCAACCACTAATCATGGCATCTGCATTCTTAGAAGGCAAGCAATACGCCTCTATCAAGTGTGTATATGATGCCTTTCTATATTTAGTTATGGCAAGAGGCTGATTCACTTCTCATTACCCCACAGTGCACCACAGCTGATTAACTTACATAAACACCACTAAGGCATATCAATTTCTATACACTTTCAAGGTCCTCTCCAAAATATGATATCTTTTTAGTTTAATGTATTTAAAATTCAGCTGTCTATTCACCGCCAAGATTAAGTTTGCATAGGTGTTGACTGTAAAGCATGTTGTAGTAGCTTTTGCTGAGGTCAACATTTGTGAATCTTCAGCTCTTGGTGTGAGGATCCAATGACCTCTATGCCTCTATAAAGACCCCTACACATGCAGTTGCCGGATGCATCATCTAACCAAAACCATTTTACAGTGTAAGCAGATCTGTCAACAGGAAGCAGAAGGAGTATATTTAGAGTTGATTATCATGTCTTGCGCAGTTCTTTGCATACAGCAGGTCAGGCTTGAACATGATCTCTTATTATTGTTAATATTATATTTATATAAAGCTATTGCTCTGGGCATGTATAGTCAGTGAGAGTGGAGGGATCTACTCTTAGCCCCACCCTGTTCAATATCTGCACTGACAGAACCACACAAGCTGCAGGACAATCTTATATTTTTTTATATATACTATTTTTTATGCACACAGTTCTTTTCTCCCTGCTCCAAAACAGCTTCATATTGCTTCAACATGTGTTTTCTGACCTCCACTTAACACTGAACATGAAAAACACAAAATGTATGATCTTTAACAGAAACCTTCCACCAACAGACAGAGCTCAAACTAAATTGTGGTTCAGAGATTGAGATATTCTGTCACTACAAGTACCTCAGCATATGGCTTGATATGATTTACTAAATCATGAGTAGGTTTTCTATACTGCCACAAAAAGTGCTTCACACACCCCGTAAAAGAGCTTCTGGTTAAACTACAGTCCACCTAATCCTCGATTACGGAGACATAGTCTATAGATCAGCATTAAAGTTTATTTCACAAGTTCGATGTGATTCATTATGCAGCCATCCGCTTTGTCACAGCTGTTTACCACCCATCACTGCACACATGGTGAAGTGTCCCTCTCTCTACACCCACAGACAAACCCACTGGTTATTGTTAATTTACAAGTCTTTAATCAGTAAAATCCCATCCTACCTCAGCTCACTTCTACACATCTACAGCTCCAGCCACAGACTCTGCTCCAAAAGCCCACACAGTTTTTACTTTTGTCTTTTGTTAAAAACTTGATCCAGAATATTTTCCAGGATCATGTACATGCTTTTAACACTTTTAAATCTTCATCTGAAAATGTTTCACTGTCCCACGTTACAGTTCACTGTTTCATATTATGACTGATGTGTTTGTGCTTATATTTGCTTTTGCTGTTTTATACAGTTTCTTGGGCAGGTCATCATTGCAGATGAGAATGTGTCTCCAATTGACTTACCTGGTGATAAATAATATGCCACACCATAATGCAACTGCCACCTGTGCTACACAGTATCAGAATCAACAC